AAAAAAGAAGGGAAGTACGGTTGACTCACGAACCACACACCAAACTTATCACAAGGTAGAAACCCATAAGTAACAAACCACCAGAAAATGAAATTCAGAAGGTAGAACGAAATCTCATTTTTCTTATGATGTTCAAAGCTTAAGATTCTTTATTTTTATAAATAAGTTCATCGAGCAATTAATATATAAAACATGACATGATTGCCATTTATTCTTTAAAGCTACATCATGGTGCATTTAACTTTAAAGAAAGTACTGTTGACCGCAATGAAGTTTGTAGCCTTACCGTATACTTCTTTACAATCTTCCTTAGCTTGAGTCTGGTTCTTTTGAAGCTTTCAATGGCCAAATAATTCTCAATGCGGTCCCAACGACACAACTTCATAAGTTCATTCAATTCTTTCTCAATGCTGCTCCTATTTGTTTCAATATGTTTCAGGATTCTATACAAGGGGAAAAAGAGAGATACATTAACTTCATAACAATCAATAAGAAATAATTAAAAAAAATAAAAAATAAACAATTAAAGAAGACTCTTTAGTACCGTGGCAACAGTTGCACATAGAAGCCAAAGGTGTTGTAGAGTACTTTCTTGTTCTCCTCTTGGCAGGGGCTGCATAATTTATTATTAGTAATCATACTTATGCATTTTATACAGAACTCCAATGACACGTGAATATCGAATGGATGAAACACAATAATGCCGAAGTCAAAAGTTAAAGTAAATAAAAGCTGAAATAAAGAAGGAAGTGAAACAGCATAGTCCTAACTCAATATCTCAGGAAGACATCAGATTCTAATATAAGAACACGAAGCAGACTCAAAATCTTACCTTCTGCAAGATTTCCACATCAAATCATTGCTAATTTGTCCATGGAAAGAAAGAAGCAACTGAAGTTGCTTTTTAAATTCTCCGATGCTGGACGTCTTAAAAAACTCTTCCAAACTGAAATATTTACTTAACATCAGGGGTGCCATTGATCAGAATATAAAAAATACACTGCTGCATAAACAGAAACAGATACCTTTCAATCATTGAGCTACTGTGTTGATGAACATCGGGAGTATCGATTTGTTGGAAAATGGGATACAATGGAAACCACAGCTGTAAATAGGACAAGGCATCAAAATTAAAAGAAACAAAAAAAAAAAAAGAATAAAAAGTTAAAAAAGGACAAAGGATATAATCATTTAGAAACACATGATCCAGTAAAAAAATATGGGTATCAACAGAAAAGCCATGATAACGAAAAAATGCATAAAGTAATCCAATTGGAGGCCCAAGACACATATTACCGTGTAAGCCATACTTAATAAACATCGCAACTTTGAGTACTAACCTCTCACAAGAAGATAACTAAAATATAATTAACACAAATCCAGCACCTAGAAACCACTACAATCTAATGCAATTCAAATGAAAGAATGATTATTTTACATTTTACTTGGTACTGATTTGTTGCTTTTTTCCAGGTATCTTTGCTCTAACTGATGGAATTTTTTATTGAGCAAGCAAGTTTAAACGACATGTGGCTTCGACAAGCAAACAATCAAATAGAAAATTTAAGAACTCACTTTTCCAGCATTATTCTCAAACTGAGATTGAACATCATCAAGCAATGTAGGCCATGATTCAAACTCCAACTTGTGCCATGAGGACACTAAAGCAAAAATAGTTTCCAATTGCTCTGCAAGTACAATGACAGTAGATGAGAAGTATTATGTTTATTTCGTATTTTGTCAAAAAAAAAAAAAAAATGTTATACAATAAAAGTTCACTGAGATAGTTTGCTAAACATTCAAATGCAAACAAAATACACATAAAGTTGCTCACCCGAGAGAGGAAACTTTGCTACAGTCTCTTGCACAATCCGAACCCTATCAAGAAGGAATTCCAAAGCAGAGAGAGCCTTCAAAGAGAAACAAGTGTTAGTTAAAAATATTAAGATGCTGACACGTGCCACGTATGCATTAACAGTACAAGAATCCTATTATCCTACAGGAGTAAAAAAAAATCAGTCTAACATAACTGGAAAATTAAGTTCTGCCACCAGTCGGTAGGGATCTCAATAAAAAAAAATGAACAGCCTTATTATCAAACTCAAGATACAATAGTTCGCAAATAATTTTAGCAAACATTCCAAAATGGTTCAGAAACAAGTATATGAGATCCGTCATAAATTCTAACCAGCTTCTTCAGTTTGCTGTCTGCAGATAACTATTTCAAAGTAACATCTGAAAAGTAAGATACTCCACCTTAGCAAGAGATGTGTCGATAGGTAGGGCTAAGATCATGTCAATAACTTCTATAATCTTTTGGAGAGAAGGGTGATCATCCCATTCTTTCAGATAGACAAGAATTCGCTGTTTAAGAACTGAAATTGGTTCCACCAATTTAGCCATCATGGGGGAATTCGAGTCCTGACAAGAACCAACAAGCAAGGAGCATTAGTAACAACTATTGCTTACGCAAAGCGAAAGAGAAAAAGAAAAGGCACCTTGTAAAAGTTGTAGGTACGAGCTGAATTGTGCGAAAGAGTGATCTTATCATCATGCTCCAAGCAAAGACGGAGTAAGTGTTCTGGTGCAATCTTGGCATCAAAAGTGGAGGAAAAAGAACCTTTCAGATCTGAAAAATAAGAGCATGTGAAAGTTTTAGACAACAAAACATTTAGATTACTTATAATGAGATTATGCAAGAAAACAATTACCTTCAGTCATTTTCAGTCCCAGCTTATAAGAGCCAACGAAGGAAGACAACCTATCCACGTCAGATACTTGAATACTGCCAGGCTGAACAGACAATTACATATATTAGAAGAAAATACCAAAGGAACTCAAGTCAGAACTCAAGAATGTACAGAGATCAAGAATCTGACTGAAATACAAATGTTATGATACAAATTCTAGTTTTGAGTTAACACATTCTTGCCTTCAGGGGGTTAAATAGAAGAGGAAATTTTTAGTTCAGACTTACTCTTTGAACAAGATCCACAGAACCAAATAGCTGATTGTGAATGTTGACAATACCATCTAAATCGGAATCCTCAGCTTTCCAGTTAAGATCCAAAGCATCATCTTCTTTATTGACTCTTATCTGCAAGGGCAAAAGTCAAAGATCGATAAATCTCATGATTGTTTGTTGACACGCCACATATGCAATGAACACTTAACAACCATACATCATGAAAACATATTGTCACCTTCTCATCTAGTTCTTCAGCTATAAGTTCCTGCCACTCTGAGAAGCTATCATTCGCAAGTAAATTCGCACAATTTGATACATCAATATCAATGATACTCTCCATCTTAAAAACTCTGGCTCTGAACTTGAACTGCTGAGCATTGCTCTCATCAGTTGGCTTTGAGCGATTCTTTATCCAGAAATCGGCAATGTCTTCAAAGATTTCAAGCACACGCTAAAATAACATATGGCATATACATCATAAGACATTCTGGTTAGTAGTTACAAAAATAAATGGCTAGTCAGTTTGCATATTTAGTCCTGATATTAAAAGTTGAGCAAAAATCATTCCAAAATGCCCAACTTGGGACCACAAATTCAATTTTCTCTCATAAACCATAACCAAATACGAGAATCATACCTTGAAGGAAAAACCACCAAGAAAACCAGCATCAGCAGCGGAATATTTGATTCGAGCAAGAACATTGTGGTAGATGGAAACCTTCGATGGCAGGGTTGAGTCCTGATGTAAGATATGATAGGATGTTAGGCATTAAAATATCTCAAAAAACCCTAGAAATTCATGGTAACACTTCCACATTTGATATATTACGAGTTAAAAGCAGCTATGCTCAAATAGCCACACATGCAAGATAACGAAGGAATCTCAATATACATTTCATACACTACAAAGTATCACATACCAGTGCACAAGAAACATTCTCTTTGTCTGAAACAGCACCAATTTTAAACCCAATTACATTGTGCAGCATACTCATATCTAATTCATCAATACTCATCGGCAATTCAATATCACGGGTCAAAAGTAAGGGTTGCCTCCCAACAGAAACCGAAACAGCTTTAGATGAACCAAGTCTTGGAAATCTCACAAATTTATGAACCATGCTCTGCCAACAAAATTTCAAGACTCAACTCGCGAGAAATATACAAAATGAATCATTATAGGAATTGATGGAGAATGATTCTTCAACCTACCAGAACAGAATCCATATTCTCTTCACCGGTTTTAGTCGCGTGCTTATAGAGTAGGCCAGACACAATTAATGACAAACCTAATTTCATTTCATATACTGAAACTTGCACGGGTTCAATGACATCTGCGTAAGATGAGTATTCATTTGCTAATCGATCAATGAAGCGTGAAGTGATCTCCTGCATAGTGAGGGACCAAGTAAAAAAGGTGTGGTCAAACATATCAGCATGTATTAAACAAAAAAGTTTTCTGGAATTTTGTTGGCAGTGTCTCAAATCATGTCTAAAAGAATTCGGAGACCCACAATACCTGCCAATTGTGGACTTGGCCAGTAACGTCTTCTATTCTCAAGCTTTTGAGATTATTGGTCCATTCCACAATAGATTTAACCAACACAAGGAACTCATCACACATATGCTTCAACTCCTTATATTTTTCTGGATTGGGACGGAACACCATCTGATACAGGGCAAACATCATTACGTGAGGGTGTGGATTCAATAGCATGTGCCAAAATAATAAACGAAAAGATTTACCGACTACTTAGAAACTTTGTAGGTAACCATAATTATGGAAAAAGTTATAGGAGAACGAACACATAAGAAAGCACACTACTCTGAAGCATCACAATTCTGTGAACTTTGTTATTGTCATCTTGACTTAATACATGTAGTTCAGTATTTTCCGAGTATCAAACTACAGAGCAACAGGAAAGGCTTGTTTAACTTTAAAGAAGCTGTATAAAAATAAGTTTAAAGCTTTGGATCTTGAAAAAGGTTCAAGGTAGTAAGACGCCATAGATCTCCGTGAGGGACAATACTTGCATACATACATGTGTGTGTGTGTGTCCAACTCGTTCTGCCGTTTTGTTCGTTTGCAATTTTTATTTTTTAAAAAAGAACAATATAATCTCGTACAACAAACAAACATCTTGCTCACAGAATACAAATTGAGGAACAAAAATGAAACACTATCAAGGTGTCATAGCTATGTTATTCATTCAGCATTTAAGCTTGGAATAAATGATATATGTCTGTGGCCAACCTTTTTATGAAGCTTTCTCCTTTCAGCTTTGAGTTCTTCTAGCAAATTTATCTTGTAAATATTAGCTTCTCTCTGATTAGCATTTCCAGCCAAATAGATGCACTCTTTCCGGACCTGCATTAGTGTATTCAGCTGAAAGTCACAAGGTGCGGACAGCAAATTGTGTCTCCAGATGGAATTCACAGGTAAAAGGATGTGTGCTAAATTTATGCCACAAAAAAACATAAAAAAAGACAGACATATGCAACTTTTTCTAAGGTCATACATCTTTACTAAACTAGACATTGTCAGTTATTCACCTCTACACACAAGCCTGATTCAATCAACTTTCGGGATTGAATCAGGTAGGGACCTTAAAGCATACGACTTATGGGATACGGGTAGAGAGAGAGAGAGAGAAGAGAGAGAGAGAGAGAGAGAGAGAGAGAGAGAGAGAGTAAGCAGACATTAGTAACAAAAAGTAAATGACAATTACCTCAATCTCAATCTCAAGCAATGCTATCGTCTCAGATAATTCTGAATATCTAACAGTGTATTTTAAAGTGGGATCCAGATCATCACAGCATACTAAGAGATTATAGCGTAACCCTCCAATCCGCAACAATGCACACCCAAGGTTATGGATATCTGAAGAGTTTGCAATAGAAAATTTTCATAAACCTTATTAAAGTATCAGTAAATGAGATTCTGAAAACCACCGAAAATGTAGGAGGTTCTAACCTTCAGATGGGTGTGTTGGGTACAGTTCACCAAGCAGCGGCTCAACATAAGAACTTATCAAAGATTTGAATACATGATGGTTGGATGATGCTAGAAGTGAAACCACATCCTTCACATCTTGTAGCTGCAATATTACAAAGAGGTAGTCACAGACGTGGAGAGGAAAAAGAATTAAGACTGTGGTCTGAAAGTACAAGAGCAAAATAAGGAAATTTTGATCACACGAAACTTCATGCTGAAAAATAAGCATTAAACTCTTAAATTGAGAAACTGTGATACACAACAGAGGGTAACAATAATACAAGGAACTGTTTGATCTTATGACATATCAAGTTGAGTGCAAGATAAGAGATATACCCATGTCCTGGATGACTGTATATGCTGGAGAGCGGAGCTTATTTTGGCATACTTTGAATCATCAAATGATTTCTTGTGGGCATGTATTATCTGCGAACATGAGGACAAAGCAGGATATCCAATTTAAAATGACGCGTTTCCGAATAACGATAAAGAGCGGTTTCTCACTAAGGGAATGGGAATCACCTGGTGAAAAAGAGACCGTGCAACAGAGAGAAGCATATCGTGTGAATTTGACATGTTTATAGAACTTCGCCAAATATTACGAGAAGCAGCTCTAAGCTTGTACTTATACAAGTGGTAATCTCTAATGGGATACGGATTTTGCCTGAGCATGGAACAGTGCCATGGTAAATGAAATGAACACAAAGTTGATTATTGTAGGAAGACATTAACAACCAATGATAGAACAGGGAACATACAATAATAAGAATTAAGAACAGCAAGAGCAAGAGCAGCTAAAATCTTAACGAAAACATCATTACACTTTAAAGGTGCAAAATGAGATATATAGCAAGCATTTCGCCTTTACATAACATTTTTCACCAACGAGCACACATCAAACAATTTTTTGAACTCAAAGATCAGAAGCTTATGAGCTTCAAATGTTCAATGTACCGATATTTCACACTAATGTAAAATTATAAAGCAATGAATGAAATGAGTGGATAGGATAAACGACAAAGGGGGGTGGGTCAGTGTAGAGAGAGAGAGAGAGATATTACAGAATCTGCTTGACTGCTGCCAATTTCAGAGGCCAAAAGAGCTTGTGGGGGAGCAGAACTCCAAAGATATCATCATCAGGAATCATCTGCATGACCGATGCATAAAAAATTCAAATTTATTAAGCACGAAATACAATATCTTAATAAAGCTATTTAGTTGTTTATAAGTACCTCTGCAAGCATCGGACAGGGTTCCCACAGAGTTGCATGCCATCTAAACCACATATCCAGAATAGAAGCAGAAATTTTTTCATTTGCTGCAGCAGAAGACAAGAAGAAATCAACTATCAAAATATGAGTAACACCACAATGCTAATTTTTCAGAGCAACACCGACCTCCATGGACTGATTCCCAGGCATCTAGGATCCACAAAATGTTTTTGTGAGGTGAAAAGTCAGTTGGAGGCCTTGATGAATAATACAACGAAAAGTTCAAAGATGACCTCAAGAGGCTCGACAACCCGAGTAAAGCCTGTCATTTATGGCAAAGTGAAACGTCAAGTTAGCACAATGAATAAGCAAATATATCTTTGATAGATTCTTACTAGAATGAGACAAGAAACCACATACATGATGCTGTTCTCTACTGTCGACCACAGTGATCTTTGTAAGATGTTGCAACATCTCCAAATCAAGACAGAGGCTTGTCTCATCAAGTACGGGTTGAGTTTTCAGCCAACATTCCAAGCCAGACCTTCTACAAATTACATCAGGGCTAATGACACAACAGGCAGAACAGACTGCTGGTCGAGGTGCATCTTTAGTTGTGGACAATTTCAGAACCAACTTCTGCTTCTCATAATCCGACTTTCTCAAAAGCAACTGGTGGAATAATGACTCGGCAGAGTTAGGTCAAACTTTGTAAAATTAAGTTCTGCACATAAGAAAATTACAAACATATACCCGATACATCTCTTCTAAACGCTGGATAATTTCAGTGTCGCTATGTTCAGCTTTGCCAACAATGCATGATGACACGCAAACTCCTTCAGAAAATAAAATGAACAAATCAAAATGCAGTTTTAGCACAGGTATTTGGTGATCTATGCATTTACCCTCTACTATGTTTCAGGTAACAACATAACTATTATAAGAAAAAAACC